TATATATATAAACATAAAAACTATAAAAGGGATGATAAGTTTTACTCAAGATCCTATACATATATAATGTATATGATATGCTAACATATAAATATATATAAACATATGTAACAGTAATTTTGTACATAGTATACTTTAAGTTACAATGGACCTTCACTTCCTTTCATTTCCGTATAATTCCCACGAACATGTTATCATTCGAGATCGTAATAAATTATAAAAGTTAATGATTAAAACTTTAGTAATTGTAATTGCAGGTTATTTTTCTGAAATCTTTATAATATATGTACTTATATATATCCTTATTGTACCTTTAAACTATTCATTTGATTTAATATTTTATAAACTACAATTCATTTTGGATTCATCGAAAGTGATCACAGCTCAGTAAACTAGTAATTTTATTCTTCTTCCGACCTCAAGGAAATTAAAGTAGGAAAGTATTCATTTTATGCTTTTATTAATTTTGCTTCTGTATATGATTGCCTTTTATTTTCAATTCTTTCTAATGATTTACAAAAGATATGCATTCACCTGGTAGTTAATTGTTTTTGATTGCCTCCGACTACATAATATCTATGTAAATTAAAACATGCACAGACGATTTAATTATCATTTCGTTTTGAAAATCATGATTATTTTATATAATAAGCATTTTGGCAAATTAATATAAAAATTCTCACTTGTTCTATTTTTAGAAAAGATTAATTCCGTACTTTTTTTTAAAAGAAGATTCTACCAAGATTGAATCTCGTCAGACTTTTGAAAGTTTAAAAGAAAATTCCAGAGACGGTACATAAGATAGAAAGATATAACATAGCTCACTTAGGAGCTACGTTATATCTTGCTAATTATTATAATATTAAAAAATTAATTTATGGAGTAGATGGGTACATCATTCACACATTCGTTATGCTCTCTTCACATATAGTTGAAGTTTATACGCGTGCTAAAAATTAGCCATTTGAGTTTTGCAATTATATTGCTATTTGTCACATAAGATGGTTATCAATTTTGTTAGAAATAATGAGACTACAAAGGTGAAAGGCTGAATAAAATAGGCGTAAATTACATTAATTTGTTATCGTTATATTAAATATAAATAACTTTTACTTTAATATTTTTTAATTATAAAAATGTTTGTTATATATAGGACACAAATGGAAAATTTTACGTAGCTTCTTAACAAAACATTTTTGAATTTTTGTCTTATTATTTATTTTATTAAATATAAAAAACAATTTAATTATAATACTAATACGTAATTACATTATAGCTATTTGTCAAATAGTAATCAATAGGAAGTGTAGCAATCAAATATAACAAGAAAATTAAATACGTATTTAGATAATTAGAATAGATGTCTGTTTCGGTAATAATGGAAGACATTTTTTTCATACTTATGTATAACAATGTGATAAGAAGCGATATTAAAAACGATTAGTGAAATTAAGATGATTAAATGAAGCGTGATAGACGATCTTGTGACGAATGATGTATAAATTTAACAAACTTTTCCATATCAGACACTGTTTTAACGATAGTATAGTAGACGGTAAATCCAGGTGAACGTGGAAATCCGCATTCATAGACGCTCACCTGTACAACGGAATAGGAAATGTCCGATTCGTTGTCAATGTGAAGGCCGCGAGGATACGGTCAATTATTTTCACGTGCATGTCGAGTAGACTACAGCGAAACAATTGCACCGGGTATAATTCGCCTCAGTGCGAAGCGAGACGAAATCACATCGTCTACAGTGAAAGGCCTCACGGTATATTAAGACGAGAAATGGACGAAGATGTATCAGTCCTTCTAGAGACTTGCGCTACTTGCAACTTGAAGCGCACTAATAGAAACACGTGGAAGCATGAGCGGAATCGTAAGTACTGTGTAAATTACTGATTTCCAGATAACGTAATTTAAAATGCTGAATTAAAATTAGACTATAAATCTGTTAGACATTCTCTGATAAGATCGTGTTAATCTTATCATACGTTTAATTAATGTTTTTGTCTTTTGACTTAATTTTGTCACACTATATAATATTATCATATTACATTATTATATATTTAATTTATATTGTACAGAATAAATTAATTGGAAAAAGGATAAAAGTTTTTTATATTTATATAAAATATATTGTCACATGTTGACGGATTTTTGCGAGTTATTATCACATTTTCCATTTTTTTAATGTACCTTTTACAGGTGCTGCTTTCTCTGGTGTCCTTGGCCGCGGCTACGCCGATAACCTTCGGCCAAGATGGAAAGCAGTACATGTTGCAGTTATTTAGCGGCCATTACGGGATCGATCGATCTGATCAGGAAATCTCCGGTACTTCCGGCGGCGGAGGTGACTACGGAAGTAGCTATGGAGGTGGCTATGGAGGTGGTTATGGAGGTAGTGATATCGGGGGTGGCCATGGGGGTGGTTTCGAAGCTAGTTCTGCTAGCGGGCATTTAGAATCCGGTAGTAGTCTCGACAGTGGTCATCAGGATTTCTCTTCTGGCGGATTTGACGGTGGTCACACTGGTGGAGATGGTGGCCATGGAATCTCACTGGACAGCGGACATAATTATGTTCACAGTGTTCCTGTTTCTGAGCATGTTGAAGTGACAAAACCTGTTGCTATACCAGTCTACAAACACATTGGTAACGTACTGTTTCATCCTCTCTGAACTGCGAATTGTACTTGAAAGTTATAGAATTAGGAATTATAACTTTATAAAAAAAGTCGTTCCTTTGCTAATAATTATAGAGAATTAGTTTGGAGACCATTATTATTATTACTATTGGTTATTTATGTCAGCAGTCAAAAAATTAATAATTTGCTACTATTTTTGAGTATGTGACAAAAAGCAAAAGTATAATTTTTAATTAGTCATTGTCTCTTATTATATATCCGCAAAAACTCGCGACATTAATTTTTTTCATTAGTATAAATTTCAATATGTTAAAAAATTTCAAGCATTCTTTATGCTCGCTTTATCCTTTATAGTCTAAAGATCTATTTTTATCTCTGTTGAATTTCTTTTTTTTTCAGGTGTGCCGGTCCCGAAATCAGTACCGATACATGTGCCGCATCCAGTAGCAGTTGGCATTCCGCAACCTTATCCCGTTCACGTCCCCGTACCAAAGCATATTCCCATACAAGTCGTGAAGACGGTGGCGGTTCCGGTAGAGAAGAAAGTGCCTTATCCTGTGGAGAAGCACATACCGATACCCATCGAGAAGCCAGTTCCCATCACAATCGAGAAACACATCCCCTATCCAGTCGTGAAGCCGTATCCTATCAAGATTCCCGTTTACAAGACTATTTATCATCACGCGAAGAAGCATTAAAGTGTGCCTATGGCATGGAGGATTTCTATGGATAGGGAAGAACGTGGTATACTATGTATAGTCTAAGGTTATGCTCTAAAATTCGCCAGTGCTGAAAATCTATTTCGCACGTAAACTATAGATTTTTATAGTGCTGACAATGAATTTTGGAACACAGCTTAAAACTATAGTCTACCTGATGCTACCTGATGCTACAAAGTTTCGAAGCATTTTTCAATTGGTTAGTAAAATTTTTTTTTGATTGATTAATCAAAAATACTTCGAAGCGTTTGTAGTGTTAAGTGAATCACACCCTAGAAATAACTCTTAGCGATCCACATCTTTTAATAATAAATTTTAATAATAAATTTTAATAATAAATTTTAGAGGCTATAGTCCACTTGATGCTGCAAATATTTTGAAGCATTTTTTGATTCTGAGATAAATTTATCTAAAATACATATGTATTAGTCTAACATCTAACTTTGATCGTAATTGGTGCTTCTCATACTCAGTTAATTCTTTGATTAGGTAATTAGTAAAATTTTTCCTTTTTTTTGATTGGTCAATCAAAAGGAAATTTTAAAGCATTTGTAGGACACTAAGTGGACCGCATCCATCAATTAAAACACACCGAAACATTTAAATTAAGAATATTAATTTGAGTGTGATTAGAACCGACAGGATGCGTACTTTGTATGAAAATATTTTCTTTTTTACTCAAAGACATTGTTACAGCAGCCCTACTTTTGCTGAAAAACAAGTACGCTCTGTATCTCTAAAAAATATTATAGTTAAATAATTTACTGAGTGCTTGGATTGCTCAGAGTTAATTCAGCTGTATTAGCTACTAGCTGTTTATTTGAAACTTATTTAACTTTAAACATTAGTAACTTTGCGAAAGAAACTGTAAGAACCGATTAACTTGAACTTAACGACGCACGTTTATCTATCCTAATTCTCATAGCACTACATGCCATCAATAAGGAGAAAGTTTACGAAAAATAACCCATGTTCGCTTGATCGAGTACTCTTCGACTCTGCTTTACTTTTTTGTATATACGCGTATTTGTAATCGTCAGCGCAACTAGCGCGTTGTTAAGCCACTTTTTTAATGTTTTGTTTGTTCTGTTACGTTTTTGAATAAAATGCTTACAAAACTAAATACTCTCGTTGTTCTTATTAAGTGAAAGTCTGTTGTCAAGATGCTTTTTACTATCTCTGCATGTACGTCAGAAAGTGCTGAGATAGAAAATTAAGATAACGAGCTAAATTATAAATATAATTAAAGACTGTCGTTCCTATTGCTCGCGATAATGATAAACGACCCGAGTGAATTTGAAATCTAGCAATATTTATTACGTGTAATATCATAAACAGTTTAAATGCGCATTTTAATTAGTATCTGATCGTTCAATATCTATTTTGTCCCTTTTTGAGAAGTATATATTCAAATTATAAAAATTATGTTTTAATTTTTATTTATTGTATCCATATTATTTTTATATTACTTTTTAAATTCTTTAATACATTAACTTATTATTTATTCTTTAAATTATAATATTACATATTTATTATCCCGAAAGTCAAAATTATAGTCCTACTTTCAACCTCAATTAAATCTCCTTTATAAACCTGATATTTTTTTGATACTTAAATCAAATGAGATGTTTTTTAATGTTATTTACAGCTTTTATTTAGAAAACTTCTTTTGAACCTAAAAATAGGAAATTTTCCAATAACTGTTATTTACAGACGTAGGAGCTCATTCATTAGATTGAACCTATTATAAATCTCTAGAATCTACATACGTTCTAATTATAAATCTTTATAATCTACATAAATGTCCTAAAACTAAAATTCAAAGTAGAAGCAAAATTTTGACTCGAATTACTTTTTAAAAGTTATCATACACTGAAAAAATTATCCGCAGTATATGATTTCGATAGGCTAACGCAATTAAAAATTAGCTGCTACAATCAAAAACTAGTTGCTGCAGTTATATAAAAATGCTATTTCATATTTTACTATCTACATTGTTGCAGCAACTAATCTTTTCTTTCAATGTATGATTTAAGTTCCCTTAACTTATGAGTAATGCGAAATAATTTTTCACTGTAAAATCTAGTCATTTTTTAATGAAGGTAATCCATAGGAATTTTACGTCAGTGTGATAATAGTAGTCAAAGCATCAATTACAGTCCGTACACTGAAAAAAGAGATTGGTTGTTGCAATCATATAAAAATGCTATGCCATATTTTACTATCTAATTTTTACTATCTATTTTACTATCTAAATTTTACTATCTAAATTGTTGCAACTAATCTTTTTTTTTCAATGTATGTGTTCCTCAAGTTGCATAGAATGTGAGAAGTGCTCGTGACAGGCTTTCACTGTGATTTTCGATAAAAGCACGGCAATTCTGTGGAAAGTAAACGTTAGATAGATTGATTTGTCCGCAATGTACGGGATCACCGTGGTCGCATGCAACAAATCATCCATGACATCAATAATATTATATTTAACAAGATGAGTCTGTCAATTCCTGTTTTCAACAATAAAAAATAACCGAGAAAACGTCAAGAAGATACTCGCAAATAAATATTCACGAGTTTGCGGAATAAAAAAATTCTTAAAAAAAAATGAAAGTACTGCTGAAAAATTGTACTTCCTCAATATTTTAATGTTACATTATTTATGGTATTTTAACGATTAAAAAACGCTGCGTCGTATTCCATTCTTAATCGTTGTCTTTATATAATAATATAAAATTTTCCGAATCCCCGGAAAATATATTTTTAATTTTTTAAAAAGTTTTTTTTTGGATTAATCTTGCTTAAAATTAATTAAAGAAAAGTATTTTTTATTAAAAGTTTATATAAAACATATATAGTATTCAAAATTAAGACAAAAAAGAATTAAATTAAAAAGTACGAGTTAATAAGAAGATAAAGCAATAATTATGAACGGAGTCGCAAGTATTAGATATTATGCAACATTTCCGCGTAATAGTGACTGCAATGATTAGTTCCCCAATCGAGCGATTTGTAGCATTTGCGGTGGGGCCATTTTCAAGAATAGTGGGATTGTTTCTTTTCGTAGGTAGTATATAAAGTGACGACAAAAGAATCTGTCCCGAGAGTAGACTATTCATTGACGATAGAGATACATCAATTAAAAAATGAAAAAAATCGTACGTAAAAACCCGTCTTGATTATGTAATAAAATGTAATAAAATATATAGATACACAATTTCGTGTTAATAATTATTATATCTTCAATTATCTTCATTATTTGGATCTAAGTGAAACGAGTTTCTTGCAACCTGTGCAACCATTAATTTCTTTTTAATTTATTCCGGCAGTAATAAAGATAAATCATGTTTTTCATAAATTTAGTTTTATGTTTAAGATTGTGTTGTTGGGAGTTATCACATGCTCTTACAGTTCCGATTGGAACTTTGGAAATCATGATGACGGTGGTGGACTTACGCTGGGAGAAATTTCTTTAGATCATGGCTTAGGAGGAACAGGTTTGAATATATTTTTAATTGCCTATTAATTCCACACTTATCTTTGAAATGTATTTTCTAATGCATAAGTTGTATAAACAATAACAGTGTAGCCAAGGATCGATTTATTGTGATAATTATAATTATATATGTGTCATGCAGCTTATCACGTAAGTGTCTTGTTGTATTGATTTGATAAATAAATGCTGATAAATTGTTTTGAATTTTAGAAAGCCATTCCTTAGATTTATTGGGAGATCATTTACCAATAAAAATTAGTGATTGGCACTTGGCCACTAGCGGTCATCACGGAGTCAATATCATTCCCAAGATTAAACATGTCGGTAATATGCTATAATAAGAAAATATATGGATCTTATTAATGTAAAATATTAAGCATAATAATAAAAATGATTTGTATTAAAGTGCAAATATACTTAAAGTTGAAAAAATCAAAATAAATGACTATATAAACAAATCATTAATTAAATAATTTTGCTTTATGAAATAATGTTTTGCTTTGTTAAGCCAAAGCATTTCGCTGATTAAAATTTATTAAATGTATATGTATTTTATTAATTTGACATCTGCTCGCTACTTTGACTTTTTAAATCTTATATTTGTATAATAATGATTATTGAAATATTACTATATTAGATAAAAATATATTTGTCTGTTTAGAATGTTCAGATTTGATAAATTGGCAGATTAGTTCTATTATGATTAGTTCTATTACTAAAACTAAAGAATAAATTTTAATTAATTGGTAATAAATTTAAATTTATCAATATATATATATATATATATA